CAACCCTGAGCCGGTGAGATTTGAACAGCCGAACTGCAGTCAGCTGAAGTAGCCTGCAGTGCTGCACTCTAACCACTGCGCCACCTTGGCTCTTTTTACTTCCATCATCATCATCCTTTGGATAAGACTTTTTGTTGCAAGCAGTTACCTGTATATGATGCTTTATACACCAGTGCTTTCCAACCTTGATAACTTTAAGATGGTTTGTTCCACTCTAACAACTCCCTAGCCATGCTGGAGTTGAGCTTCACATATCTTAAAATGATCAAAGTTGAGAAACTCTTCTCTAGACTTTCAAAAATAATAAGTTTCAGAGGGGATAAATATCTTCCCTCTTATCTTTTGGCTATTGGGCTCAAATAATAATAGCTTGATGGAAATACTAAATGATTAAAAATTCCTCTAGGCTACCATTCAGTGGTTAGTAAAGGTATAAGTTGCCTATGGAAGATCATCTTTCTATAAAATGATCTCTGGCACCAGAATGATTAAAATTCCTTCTGCTTCCTGCTCCTCAACTAATTGATTATTTCCTGTGAAATATAAACCATGGCAAAGAAGTTGCTGGAAGTGGGGTGGACACAGAGAAGTTTCAAAGCTTTCTTCCTATGCTACTGGTCTGTTATTAATCACATCAAGTTTGCTACTTGTGCCAAGTGGGAAGTTTATATTTTGTCTTTCCATTCCTGCTGTTTAAACTTTTATAAAAATGAGATAGCATGGACGTCTTTAAGGAAGATCTAGGTTGGCACTGGCATTCTTAAAGACACATCTCAGAGTTGCGGTGCAGGATTTTGATGCCCAAACCTGACAGTGAGTTTGTGCTTTGGGACAAAGGAATTGACTCTACGAAACATTAAGTCATCATTTGTTTAGCCATGAATTACCGAATCAACACAATTAATTGGATTTGCACAACATGCTAAGCAGAGGTGATATTCAGCAGGTTCTGACCAGTTCTGGAGAACAGGTAGTAGAAATTTTCAGTAGTTTGGAGAACCGGTAAATGCCACCTTGGACTGGCCCCGCCCCATCTATTCTCTGTTCCCGAGTTCCAGCTGATAGGGAGGAAATGGGGATTTTGCCGTATACTTCCCCTACCACGCCCACCATTCCATGCCCACTATGCCATGCCCACAGAACTGGTAGTAAAAATTGTTTGAATCCCACTAATGATGCTAAGTCATAAACTGACATTTACAAGTCACAATATGGCAACTGCAAATCAAATCAATCATATCTTTATTCACCCCAATCTCAAATGCTGGTAGTTTGGAAAGTATTTTTTTTAAGCTAGTGGTTCTCAACCTTTTCTTCACCATGGGTCCCCCTTTAAATACTTTTTATGGCCATGGACCATGGTAACAAACTCCCAAGACTTAAATCATAACATATCTTCAAGCCTTCATGGAGCCCTTGTGATGATATTGTGCCCCCTCCCCAGAGGTCCACCACCAGTTACAAGTTGTCAACCACTGCTTTAAGAGAAAACCATGGTTTTAGACAGACAGTAGTCCATTAGAAAGGGACAGCAGCCCTTTCCCTTCACTGCTAATGTAGATTTTATGGGAGGTTTGTTTTTGCGTATCTCACAACATCTAAAGTTATAGCTTACTTGGTTTTTCTCAAAGCCAGTATACAGATCAAGATGAAACAAGCGACAATTGTTAAAAAAACCACAACGATCCAAACAACGACGTCCTTAACGCTGGTATCTGAGAGAGAAAACAAAGTGGTTTAAATTACATGTAGTTGCATAGAAAGAACTTCATTATTATTTTTTAACTTAGAGAAAAAAAATTATTTGCAGAGTTTTATTAAATCTCCATACTAGGTTTGTGAAGATAAATTATGGTGCCGGAATGAATCCAGAATATGAAGTTGACTGAACCAAGTAGTGCCAACAAATCTGAAGAACATCACAGCAGCCAACTACAGTGGCCTTGTAGAGGTCAATCTACATTAAAATATGAATGAATGGATGGATGGATGAACGAACAAACGAATTAATGAACAAACTGAACAGTATGTGCAAAATGCTATACAATAATCTTTATTTCGCCTGCTGGCAAAATAAGACTTAGCATAATGCAATACAGATTAGTGCCCTGCATGGAAAAAGATATACCAAATGTTCAAGATGATTTTAAAAATGCTGAGGTATAGAAAATATAATTGCAACTGCCAAAACACAAGAAAGCCAAATATCAAAAAAGGAAGCCAGAATGTGCTTCATTAATCATAGAAAGATCTAGGAAGTTATGGAAAGTTCTTGGAAAATGAGAATTCCAGAACCTCTCATTGCCCTCATGAGAAACTTACCATAGTTTTCTGACTATCAGATGCACCGGTGTATAAGATGCACCAAGATTTCGAAGAGGTAAGTAAGAAAAAAAAAAGTTTTTGTCCTCCCCGGCCCCCAGGAGCACTCTGCAGTCTTCAGCAGGGATGGGGGAAGGGAAAAACACCCCCATTTGGGTGAAAAACAGCCCATTTTTCACCGAAACAGGGGCATTTTCCCCTTCCCACAGCCCTGCTGAAGCCTGCAGAGTTCTTCTGGAGGCTCGGGGAAGGCAAAAACAAATGTTTTGGTGAAAACTAGCCCGTTTTTCACCCATTTTCACAAAAAGTGGATACGAGGGCGGGCTTCAGGAGGCCAAAAATTGCTGTATTTGGTATATAAGATGCACCAACATTTCCACGCTTTTTTAGGGGGGGGGGTAAAGGTGCATCTTATACTCCGAAAAATATGTATATACAGGTCAGGAAGTCACAATACAGACTGAATATGGTTAAACAGACTGGCTCCAGGTTGGCAAAAGAGTGAGAAAAGGTTGTTATTTATTCAACTTATTTGCTGAAGAGAGGAAGAAAAGAAACCCAAGAACGCCATCCATTCCTGTCCTCGTATGCCCTCTGAACAAAAAACAAGAATGGCACCCTACCCATGGCATGATAGAGAACGACACTTCTTGTGCCAATAGAGTTTTCTGCCAGCTCAAGAAGTGGAAGATTGTATTTAATTTTGCTAAGGAGAAAGCTTTAAGGTAAACTGAACTTGTTCTTGCCTTCATAAGCCTAATGCCAACAGAAGGCCAGTCAAAGGTTTGTCTCACCTTTTTGGAGTTTGATATAACTTTTAGGGCTCCAGTCACTCCAGATACCATGATCTGATCTGCATCGAACCTGGGCAATGTATCTTTTTCCTGGATTCACACTGAACATCTTATAAGACGTCCTTTGCCCAACAAATATTTTCTGGGAATATAAGAATATACACGAAAACATAGAAAAAGCTTTTTTTGTTAAAAATCAGCCTTTTTTGAATGAGCACAATGGGGACAGGCAACTTGGCTGTTAAAGGAAGTGGTCACTAAGTGAAACCACAACACTATTACTTCAGCTTTCCTTCACTTTGCAGACCTGCAAAAGTTGTAAATGCGCGGTCAAAAAGTTATTTTTTCATCAGCGGTGTGATTTACCACCTTGAATGGTAGTTAAACAAGGCAGTTGCTACATGTGGTCTATATCTGTATATTTTAGTTATTCTGACAAGCAAAATTAATGGGGAAGCTAGCGGGAGGCTGCAAACAGCGACCCTGTGACTCTGCACTTAATAATGGTATGGGGTCTGCTTAATGATGGCACTGGAAGTGTCAAAATATCTGTCGCTAAACTGTATGGCCACGTGATGTTGTGCTTTAATTCTTAACTACAGGAATTCTGGCCCCAATTAGTATTGTTTGTTGGTTTGTTTATTAAATTTGTTTCCTGCCCATCTCGCTACAATTAAGTAAGGACTATCTATATTTTGTGAATGAGACTAGAGAAGTGTACAGTAAAAATATCCATACACATGCATCAGTGTGTACTATTTTAGGATATACTATGAACTGCAGCAAAAGCTTTATTTACATTACATATAAGGTAAAACTAAAAGTTCCCCTCGCACATATGTGCTAGTCGTTCCCGACTCTAGGGGGCGGCACTCATCTCCGTTTCAAAGCCGAAGAGCCAGCACTGTCCGAAGATGTCTCCGTGGTCATGTGGCCGGCATGACTAAATGCTGAAGGCACATGGAATGCTGTTACCCACCAAAGATGGTCCCTATTTTTCTACTTGCCTTTTTACATGCGTTGGCAGAAGCTGGGACAAGTAAAGGGAGCTCACTCCGTTATGTGGCACTAAGGATTCGAACCACCAAACTGCTGACCTTCTGATCGACAAGTTCAGTGCCTTAGCCACTGAGCTACCACGTCCCTTTTACATTACAGATAAAACATATTAATAAACCAGCAAGTATTTTTAAGTGTTTGCTCAGTCCTAAAGGCACCATTTTTACGGTGTATTATTCAATAATAGCATAAAGTATGGCAATTATTATTTGTGATATAGACTAGGAGTTTTTTGTGACCTAAAAACATGCAGAACATTTGGCCACCAAGAATTAAAACACTTACTTCCCATTCTTGTCCTTCTTCAGGCTTTATATGTAATTCATACTCCAGAGTTAGCCAACCCGATTTGACATCACCCAGAGAAGGTGGATTCCACGTCAATAACATATATTCTCCATATACTTTTTTCTCAAATTCTAGGGAAAGATTTTCTGGAGGATCTGGCTGAACTGGAAAAAAAAGAAAGATCAGGGATTTACAATGTAAGGATGAACATGGAGGCATCCCTCAAACACTA